TTACCTATAATGTCACCGATTAACATTATGAAACAATTATATATAAGTGTTGCAAAACGTCTAAATTATTCAAATTATGCAACACTCATTAAAAAGTGTTACACTTATCAACTATTATGTAACATTTATTTGAAAGTGTTGCTAAAAACAATAAACGTAATTATAATAAAACCGATGTAACATGATTAAATAATACTCGGTATTAGTGGTATTACATTCAATTGGATGCAACTCAATTTATATTTATATAAACATAAAGTAAAAACCAATTCGTCCAATTTAACGGCAATAAGATACTCTTTGCTCTTTTTTTTTGAAAATAATACTCTTTACTCTTTAGTCCTAATTTACAATATTAGATCTTTTCTAATAAAGAAAAGCAAAGGAGATTAGGAGACCCGCAGAAAGCCAGAAACCATCGCATATCGCAAGGCAAAACACCATAGCGACGAGATCTGGCCGAAATCGTAGCTCCTTCGCTTGCTGCCGTTCAAGCGCCTGCCGCCGCTCCGGTCCCTGCCGCCGCTCCAGTCCCTTCCGTCCCTCATGTGCCTGATGTCGCTCCTCCGCCTACCGCCGTTCCTGCACTTGCTGCCGCCCTGTCCCGGCGTCTGCCGCCTCTCCTGCACGTGCCGCCGTCTCTGCACCTGCCGCTGCTCTTCCTCTGCTATATCACCTTCCTCCGCTGCTCTCCATCCATATTCAGGTAAAATGATTTTAAAATATGCAATAAATTTTTAATTTTTTATACTTTGTCTTCGTTTCCGTATAATTTCGGTATAGTTTTTGTATACTTTTGATCCAAGATTTGTTTTGTGGCTTTAAATTTGTTGTTGTGGTGAGCTTCCTTAGCCATATTATTCTTGAAGATTGCTTCAGGGTCTATTTCTATTTTGTAGAGGAATGTTCATGTCAGGCCGGCCTGACGGGCTGCCCCGTCCGGCCGAGCCCGTTTGGGCACCTTCCCGGTGGAATTTTTTGATGAAATTTTTTGAGCATGTTCCTCATCAAGTCTAATTTGTCCATACCAAATTTCAGCTCAAAATTCGATCGGGAAGGTCGTCAAATGATTTTTGCAAGTTAACTGGTCCGGAATATGTATTTTCCGGACCAGTTAACTTGCAAAAATAATTTGACGACCTTCCCGATTGAATTTTGAGCTGAAATTTGGTATGGACAAACTAGACTTGATGAGGAACATGCTCAAAAAATTTCATCAAAAAATTCCACCGGGAAGGTGCCCAAACGGGCTCGGCCGGACGGGGCAGCCCGTCAGGCCGGCCTGATGAGAAGAGCTCTCCTATTTTGTAATCTGTATAGACTAAAGTTTCACACCCTTTAATCATTGTGACAATGGCTTTCATTTTAGCCTGGAGAATTGAGTGATAAATGGGGCTGCATCCTTTTGTTGTCTTGAAGAACCGCCCCTCTACGCTCCTTCCATTAGAGTAATATGCATTGACATTCAACATGAGAAGGTGAATTTTCTTCCAAACTTAAAATTCTGGGTTGACTGTCTCTTAGAGTTTTGGGAATGAGAAATAGATCCTGGTATAAATCTTGATTAAAATTGAGAGATTTTGCATGGTAAAGCTTCCACACCATCGATGAATCATGATTGTATGCTTTTATTTGATAATGAATTTGAATTGCATTAAACAGTTGATCATCCCAAATGGCTTCAGTTGCAGCTATTCCTTTGCAAAGATGCTAAAGAACTATTGTTGGAATAACGCCCTTAAGTATCCTGTTAGTGTAGTCCGATCTGCTCCAAGCCTCTATCTAAATAAGCCTTATTTCTTGTTAACAGGAACACCAACCTGCAATATTCCCATACAGTAAACCCATATAGGCTTTACTTTAGGACAAGTGTAAACACAATGTTGCTGAGTTTGTTCTTCTTTAAAGCATATGAGACACCAGGATTGTCCTTGAATCTGAAATATTCTCAAGTTTTATGAAAAAGGTAGGAATTCAAAAACTTCCATAAGAATATCTTGATTTTGAGTTTTTGTTCAGAAAACCATGCCTTCCTATATTGACAGTAACTTATAGTTCAGACCATATTTCTCATTTTAAATTAGAGGATGATCATCCAAATTCATAAGACAAAGGCTTTCAATAGTCTCATTTGAGTTCTCACAGGAATTTTATTAAAGATGTTTTTCAACTACTATCAATCACTTGTTTATGTTAGGTAAAAAAATGGGTTGCATATTATGAGATTAAAAATGAAATATGCTTACAAAGCTGATTCATGATTCATGGAAAAGAAACTCATGCATCTTTTTTAGTGGTGCATCCAAATAAAGGGTATACATGATTCATGGAAAAGAAACTCATGCATCTTTTTTAGTTTTTATTTTATTTTATTTTTTATGCATCTTTTTAGCTTTGTTGTCTCATTTAGACATGTATTCTTGGATCTCAAAATCATGACTGTGAAAGATGTTGGATCAGCTAAGTTTATGATTTACTTTTCTTATTATCATTACATTATTATTCTTGTTATTATAAGTATTTACTTTAACATAGTTAATATTTTGAACCTGATTTTTTTTAATTTCAGGGAAAATCAATACTGAAAGCTAGGAACAAATGGCAGGGTGTTGTCATAGGGATGGACTCGGGCCGGGCCAACCGGCCCGGCCCGCTACTGTGCGGGCCTGGACCGGCCCGGTGAACCGGTTCGTGCCCGGTTCGGGCCTCCAGGCCCGGTGGTATAGCGGTCCGGGCCCGGGCCTCCAATTTAGTGAACCGGCCCGGCCGGGCCGGGCCTGGTTCGGGCCGGAATTTAATTTTTTTTTTTTTTTTTGCAATTTTTTTTAAGTTTTGGGTTGGATTAGGTATTTTGGGCCATTTGAGGTGGTTTGGGGTGGTTTGGGGTGGAGAGGGAGGGGTAGGGGGTTAAATAAGAGAAGAAGAGAAAAAAAAAATTAAAAATCCGGGTGGCCCGGCCGGGCCCAGGCCCGAACCGGGCCCGAACCGGAACCGGTCCGGTTCCTCTTTCTAATCTAATGTATTTTATATTTATAGGTACATGAGAATTTGTGTGACAAAGTGATCAGGTAACTGTAATTGTGCTACGTTACTCTGGATCACTATAGTAATATGTACTTCATATTCAATAAAATTTGATTTGATTATAGTTTTTATATTCTTTTTTTTTTTGTGATTCATTTTATTTACTTTTGTTATGTTTAATTCGTTTTCTTTTTATGTCTCTTGCAGAGAAATGCTAGAAAGATTATGATGCACAGAATTATGGTGCCATATACTGGGGTGATTCAATGATTTGGAGTCTTTCTCTTCAGCACAAAGACTTTTAAGATATATTTTAGTTAATTTCTAGCCACTGTAAATTTATTTTATTACTATTGATTATTCCTTTAAGATGTAATGTTGATGACTTGATGGTGATAAATTTCAACTTTCCTTGAGGGAAAAATGGTAATGCCTATGCTAATATATATACACTTTTAATTGTACATTGAAATGCAAGTCACAGTCTAGGTTAAAAAGTTACTCCGTATGAAATAGTTACATGTAAAAAGTGAGAGGTATCACAATCAACTAAAATAATACTCCGGAAGTAATGCATATTAATCTGTTCATAAAATACGGGTGAAATCATTAATTGATATCCATTAATGTTGCAAAAAGATATTATAAATATGTTACATAAACATAAAATTGATGTTGCCTAAAGTCATATTTTAAGTGTTGCATATTATTAAAAAAAGTGTTGCATAAGATGCAAACTAAGCTTTTGTAAAAAAGTGTTGCATATGGTTTGTTTTTGTAACATCTTTTCTCAATGTTACATAAAATGTTAAAAAGTGTTGCATATGACTTTATGCAACGAGACCTGAAGCAACGCTCATAAAAGTGTTGCTTAAGCTTTTTGTAACATTTTATCCATCTAATGTAACAATATATCTGTGTTACAAAAGGCTCATTTTGTTGTAGTGGCAGGAGGCTAGGGAGTATGATATAATTCCATTGCAAGAGAAAAAGAGACATGTCTAATCGCATTAATCACCCTTAATTTATATCATTGTTTTGAAAGTCGCTTTAGGCTCCTCATTAGTCCCTGCCTAGGTGCAATGCGGTGGTCGGGCGCCCAAATTTTGTTCTAGATGCTCCAATTAGTTGGTTTGGCGCCTAGGGGAATTAGTTCGCCACCTAAGGGCACTTAGTTGCCCGTTCAGAGCGCCTAATCGCCGCCTAGGGCGTCTTGATTTGTCGAACAATTTTTTACTTTTGATTTTCTTGCTGTAAGAGATATATGTACCTTTAACTATAATCATGAATATGAAGAAAGATACTTGTACATTAACAAAAAACTAAATATGTGTGTATTCATTATCATATATGTATGTAGTACGGAGTATTATTTTATGTGACAATTTTATCATTCATTCATGTTAATGGGTGTGCATATATTTTTCACACACGTCACACACAAATACGATACTACCGTTTTACTATGTTATTTATCATATTTATGCAAAAGTATTAACAAAAATACAATTTATGCATCTGCGACTAGTCCCCACCTAGACACCCGCCTAGGCGCCTAGAGGCTAAGCGATGGGCTGGCTGCCGACTAGCGTCTAACGTCTTTTTGAACATTGATTTATATATTCTAAACAGATTTATGAGTTCACATCAGTAGAGAAACAGGGTAACACTAGGCACCATTAAAGCGTGTAGTATAAGGATGCATTCTTTTGGACTGAAATTTGGTGGTCTGATTAGATTTGGTCAGATATGATATGTTTAAGTCTAGTCTAGTCTGATCTGGTCTTAAGTGGTCTTGTAAATGTCTGATCTTCGTGTATTTTATAATTGTCCATATCTGGTATGATCTGTTAAATCTGATCTGATCTCGACAGAAAACAATAAAGAAAGCATCCTAATGTTCTGACTTGTAAATGGTGAACATTGAACATTATTCATCACTAGTAACACTGATAAACTCAACTACTACGGTACCCTGTACATTAGTGCTCTAATTTAACTAAATGATCTCATATCTCCTTCATCAAACAAAGGTTATGGACCTTATGGCTAGTAATAGGATTATGCTCCATCAATCACTTTTCCTGGATCAGTTGAGTTGAAAATTTGGGGTATGGGAGTTGGCCAGGGCGGAAGCATGATGCTGTGTGTCAAATTGTATTTAGTTGGCGGAGGTATCTTGCAAAAGAATTTCAGGGTTTTGGTTCTCAAATTGCAAGAAATAACCTCATTTTGAATACGTATATAAACAACATTGATATCCAAGGGATGAATAGCCAGCAATGGTAGGCGTAAAGTTGATATTACAGGCAGCCACTCCCGGCCGTGCTTGATGCTGCTGCCGTCTTGCAGATGTACCTGCCGCTGCATAGTCCACTCCGGCCGCCCGTGCCCCTGGTGCTTCAGCTCCCATATCCTCAATGTGGCATAGTGCAGCGCCGCCGCGTAAAACCGGCCACTGCACAGACCAAAACAAAATAGTCCCTCCGCCTCCAAGGCGGCCTCCTTGGGCCGATTCAGGATACAAGCGATCTTGTCGTTTTCGACATCGTAAAGAATTGCCCGCATCTCCTCATCCATCCAATGCAGGTACCCTTGGTAGAAAACGGCGTGTTGAAAAGCCATGAAGCACGTCCAGACGATGGGCTCGGGAAATGTCACTGTTCCCTGAGCCCACTTTCCTGTCTCGGAGCAAAAGGTCACAACTTCAAAACCCGACGCCCGTCTGTGCTTCCGGGGTAGAAGAATTCGGACAATCTTGAAGCGGGGGCGGGGAAGGTCCGGGTAATAAGCGAAGCCCACAATTACATCCAAATATCTATGTACCCACGGCGGCGCTGCGGGGAGACCGGCCCAGGTCTTGGTGATCGGGTTAACTATGTAGTAAAACAGATGATATATGTTCCTTGGATCGCACAATAACAACAAGCCTTCGCAGAAACCCATCACGAATTTCCAATTTATTGATGCTTCGTAAAAGGGGAGGAAGTCCAGGGAAAATAGGCGCTCAAAGTGAGGATGAAACAGGAACAGATGCGCCGCGGTGGAGCAGCGGGTGGCGACGCACTCCACTTCGCGGCTCATGAGCTGGTGGTGGCCGCGAAAACGGTCGAAGAAAAAAGGAGTCGAAATTAGGTCTCGCCACCGCTTGCACACGGCTTTACAACGCGCCACCGAGTCAGGCGGGGCACGCTGCAGGACCTCCACCAGAACATCGTCGTGGAAAACTCCGTTTATTTTGCTTCTCATCCTCCTCCTACTCATCTTCTTTCCTAACCCAGCAGCCATCCGAATTCCGAACTGATCGGCTTTGGAGTTGCGACTCCAAACCTCCCTTAAGTCTTAACGACGTGAGTATATAATACGGAGTCGGGGAATGCCTTGTTTAGTTATATACGGAGTCCGACTACTAGTATTTGGAATTGATTGTGGTTCTTTTTTTTTTTTTTTTTTGCAAACATTGATTGTGGTTCTTGTTCGTTAAAAGTTAGAATCGGAATCACAGAATCATGTACTCACAAGGTCACAACTCACAAGTAATAATGTACGTAGTAGGACTAGTAGTTATTACCTTAATACTCCGTACTCCGTAGGAGTTTCCTATTCCTTTAGCACGATTCCTATTGTTGTAGGTTTCCTAATGTATTCTGAACGGTTATTTATTACTACCTCTGTCCCATTAAGATTGGGACAAGAGAAATTGACACGATTATTAAGAAAAGAGGGTTTGTGTGGTTGATATTAAATTGGTAAAGTAAGAATAAAGTAAGAATGGTTTAGAGCCACACAAACTTTACCAAATTTGGTATGAGACAATCTTAGTGGGACTTCCCGAAAAGGTAAAATGGAACAATCTTAGCGGGATGGAGGGAGTATATACGTAGTATATGATATCCACGGCTACCACATTGGCAAGTCTGTCATTATTCTCACATAGTATAAGTGTAACACCCCAGCCTCGCAGGACCCGAGGTAATTACTCCGGACCAATAGTACTGTCCCCACAAACCACCACGAGCCTTTACCGCGCACTTTGTCCTCACTCATGCGCGCCCTGAGCAACTTCCCAGGGGGTCACCCATCCCAAGACTACTCCCGTGCAAGCACGCTTAACTTGGGAGTTCTTGGGTGATGAGCTCCCTTAAAAGGAGATGCACCTCTGTTGGTATGAGTAGTACTATTAATCCATTTATATTAAATCTCAAGTGTTACAATAAGAGCCTAGGTTTTATCCAATATTGATTTTTTTTTCAGTCAAGCATGACGTCTATGAACACTACTGCCGCTGCCACCGCATCGAGTACCACCGCGGCCACATCAACGCCGCCGGTGAGCGATCTGCGGTTCTCAGCGCGGAAATCACACAGTCCGCAGCCGCAGTAACGTCACAGAAGACAGCGTCGTTCATCAAGTAGCTTCCATCGTCGCTGTTCTCCTCTACTTTTCTCTCTGCGCCGGCACCATCCTCCTGGGTCCCACCTATATTTTTCCTAGACACCGACACCTTCCACTCTTCGGCCACCAGTTAGATAGACCGCGGAGTCGCAATTGGAGTCCAGTGCTGCAGTGCCAGTCTGTGACTGGTTTGCCAGGCCAACTTTATTCGGCAGTGCAAGTCTCGTGCTTCCGCTGCAGGCAGAGACTGTTGGCCGACGTTCGGTGGTTCCACCAATGTCGGAGTCGTTCGCTGCTTTGGCTCAAGGCATGGGGTTTGGAGTTCCTTCCATTACCAATATATATTGTGACAACGAAATTATCTGCTGTAGACCAAGCTAAATAGCTAAAACCCAATATGATTAATGCCTGCTTTGAATAAGCCTAGGCACGGGTGTATATAACCCTTACGTCCAAAACTTAATAGAAAACTAAATCCTAGTAAGAAACATAATATATGAGTGCTAATTAAATCATACTAGGAAACTAAATAAAACAGGCCGGAAACCTCTAATTCTAATAAGAATAGAAGTCCTAACTAAAACATTCTAGGAAACTAAATAGCTAGAATAGGAAACCTCTAATTCTAATAAGAGTAGAAGTCTTTTTGACAGAATAGAAGTCTTAATTAAACTGAGAGAAATTGAGGCAATCATGAAATCTCGCTTTAGTGGACCTTGGAGGTCTTATCGGAAAGTGCGTGAAACTGAGAGAGATCACTTGTTTGAGGAATTCAGGGTAACTTGATTAAATTAAATTACGTTTAAATTTTTATGAACTTAATGATCTTTTCAGTTGGTAGGAGTAATTTAAAGTTGCTATGTATTTGCAGTTTATATAGCTAGCCAAGGTCTCAAGAAAATTTTACAAACGGGAAGAAAGGAAAACGTGCCAACAAAATATATCGCTAAGAATGTTTTTAAAGATGTTCAGACATATTGGGCCTCTCCGGAGTTCAAAAAACTTAGCGCTAAGGGAAAAAAAGCCCGATCATCAGAATCATGCAAAAACAACCCGTATTGTGGTGGGTCAATCACTACTGCTGATCATAAGAAAGGATTGGAATTTTTTTATATTTAATTTATTGCTAGATAAAAACTTTGGATTTATTCATTTACTAATGTTGTTATTTTTCAAGGAGGAAAATACTTGGCAGGAGGATTTTCATGTGGGAGTTGTATGTTGTGTCACATGGAAGAGAAAAAAGAACTCGTGAATGGAGTGGTCCGAGGATAAAGAGATGCTATGTAAGATAGTTAAATAGATATTTAGTATTTATTTAAGATATATGCATAGAGACTTTGCTAATAGATGGTTTATATGATTTACTAAATATTTTTTGTATCAGGAAAATTTTCGCTGCTAGACAAAAAGCAAGAGAGGAGGTCAATGATGACTCGCAACCTATAGATGAGGATGAAATTTTTATGGAGCATTTTGGACCTCCCAAATGTGGTAAGATTTTTTTATTAGGGAGTCTTTCTAGCGAGGTTCAAACCAAATATAATCTCGAGGCGACACATCTACGATAATTTACAGGAATTAATTGATAATCGTATCAAAGTTGCACTTACTACTAGCATTCAGGAGCGTATAGAAGGCCCGGTTCAAACTATAGTTAGTTCAAGCTGCTATTGTAGAAAACGATAGGACATGGATGACTCGTTTTGCTGAGTACTGTAACTCTTTGGCCATGCAAAACTCCCGACTTCCTACTCAAACTCTAGCTCCAAGTACTTTCATATTTCCTTTCCAACAATTCTCATTCTCACAAATGGCATCACAAGGGCAATCTTTTCAAAATGGAGCTCAAAATGGAGCAATGAATTTTACAGACTTGATGAATTTTAGCTCGTCATTGTTGCCGCCGCCGTCTAGAAATTAGTTTTAGACATTTTTTCCCCTTTTCATTTATGCAGCTTTGAATTATTGTATGTTTACATTAATTTTTAAAACAATTTGTTTTTTTTTATGGCTAGAGACATATGTTTAATATATGCTTTTATTCCAATTACATATTCTCCCTGGTGTGTTCATTTATTTTGTCAGTTATACGTAATTTCATTTTTCATCTTGAAAATTAATTTGAATTATATTACTAATAAATAGTAATAATAATAGTGTATAATATATAAATCAATTTATTTTTCCGGTCAAGCATGACGTCTATGAACACTACTGTCGTTGCCACCGCATCGAGTACCACCGCGGCCACATCAACGCCGCCGGTGAGCGATCCACAGTTCTCAGCGCGGAAATCACACAGTCCGCAGCCGCAACGTCACAGAAGACAACACCGTTCATCGAGGGCAAATTACACCGTGCAGCCGGCTGTACTGTGCGCACGGTACAGCCGGGCTTTTTGTTCGCTGTTTGTTGGGATCTCTTTCTCCGCCGCTCGAATCTCGTCTCTTTCTTGTCGATGGCCTTCGCTCGTCGATCTGCGCGCGGCGATGGAGAGGCTGTGGATGGGTTGCGCAGATGCTGCGATGATGGATTCTCTCGGGCTATGGATGGATGGCTCAGATGCTGGGAAGATGACGCTCTGCTCCAGCTTTCTTTTCCTCCTATTTTTCTGATTTTTTTTTAATTTGGTAGCTTTTGGGTTAGGGATACCTAAATTGTACGGAGTATCTAGTTTTAAAGATATGAGCATGAACAAATTAAATTTTGAGTATGATATAGTTTTTAAATGAGCCTAAAAGAAATGAGTATACGCCTAAAACAAATGAACTCACACAAATTAATGTCATGTTGAAAATGAATTTTATGTTAAACTAAAATGAGTATAACATTCAAAATGAATGAGCATACACAATTGAGTTTTTCGAATTTTTTATACTCATTTTGTAAGTTATGCATGCTCATTTGGTACTGCTTTATGCTCATTTCAAAATGATGCACATATCAATTATAACGCCCAAAATCAATGAGCATACACAAATAAGCTTTTGAATTTTTTGATACTCATTGTGTAAATTATGTATGCTCATTTGGTACTGCTTTATGCTCATTTGAAAATGATGCACATATCAAACATATCATACTACATTAGATTCACATATTGAAATTAATTATAAACATAATTTAAGAATTATTTATAAACGAGAAAATAATAAAAAGAAACTGAATTAGAATATATGAAGCAGAGATCACTCACTAGTAGAAAACGTCCTTATAGTGACACTAAATTTGTGTCACTGAAAGTTTCTGTGACACTTCTCAAACGTCGCAGAAGGTAGGAAATGGTGACACTAAATTTAGTGTCACAGGCGAAATGTCAGCAGATTATGACATTCATGTATCATTAAATATTTTGACAAACATGTATCACAATTACTTGCGATACTGTAATGACACGATTAATTATGATGCATTAGTATCATACAAAAAAGTGACTCCAAGACATCAAAAAAACTTTTGACATCTTAGTATCTTTATTATCAACATTGTATATTTATCATTGAAATCCTTGCATTATGATATCATTTTTTTACACATGGTTTCACATTTTCAATCACATATACAAAGCATTTAAGAAAATCCATAACTTTAAATACACCATCATTATCACCAAAAACAAAATCATCATACATACATAAGTAAGATTACATATATCCATTACAATTCACTTGATGATCAACCTACCTCAATTCCATGAACCATTAGAGTATGTAAGTTACTTGCAAATTCATCAAATTACATTCCATGGCTTTGAGGTAACATATAAGTCATAAAACCAGAAGTTTAATCCAAAATGAAAAAACATGATAATACAGTCAAGCACTTTTAAGTGCTAATTAGTAGTCAAATATCCATGGTGCTTCACTCAAAATTCATGTCCTGATCTACTACAAGCTTCTTCCCACAAATCATTCCATTCTGTACAAACAAATCACATGAACAGAATGAATCAACTAATGCATTAAACTACTACAAGAAAAAAAAAAGACAAAACTCACATTTTTCTTCAACACACTGACATCAGAAATGATATCTCTCATATACTTGATCACAAAATATCCGTATTCTGTGACTCCTTTTTGCTTAGGACACTATAATATTTCAAGTATAATAAGCATTGA